CCCGCCGCGCCGCTGCCGCTTTCGCTGCCGCGCTCCGCACTGCCGCCGGCATCACCCCCGGGGCCCGCCGCGCCGCCGCCGGCGCTGCCCGCCGCCCCGGCGGCGCCGTCGGCGGCCGCGGGCCCTGGGGAGGGCGACACCCGGAACCCCCCAAATTCCACCGCCTCGTCGTCACCGCCGCGCGCCGCCACGGCCGCAAACGCGCTCACCCCCGGTGGCGGTTCGCGGTCCGGCGGCGGCGGCGTCCAGAGCCCCTCCGAGAAGAGGGGCAGCCTGGGGCCCTCAGAAAATGAGGCTGCCAGTGCCACCTCCTCTGCGATTGAATCCGCAAGGGCCGCAATATGCCCCGGCGACCCGTCCGCCGCCGCCGCGGCGCCCAAGGGCCTGGGAGAGGGTGACGATGCGCCGAGCGCGGCCGCCGCGGCGCCGGGGGACGCGAGGGCAAGCGAAGGGTCGAGCTCTCTGCTGCCCTGCCGGCTGCCCCAGCCGAGCAGCGCCGACAGCTGGCCCTTCGCCGACACCCCCAGCGACCCCAGGCTGCCGAACCGGCGGTGGTGCGGCCGCGGCGCCGGCGCGGGCGTCGGCGGCGGCGTCAGGGAGCGGCCGACGGCGGCGGCGAGGGCCGCGGGGTTGAAGCGCGGCGCCGGCGACGCGCCCGCGGCGGCGGCGGCGGCGCCGTCGGCCGAGGGCGTCGGAGGGCCGCGCGCGGAGGGGTCGCGCTGCACAGAGGACACCTCCGACGCATCAGAGGGGCTGGCGCCGCCCGGCTGGTCGCCTGCGGAACGGAGCCATGGGGCCGTGAGCGCGACGATGCTTGTGGGCAAACAACGCAATCAGGCTGGTGGCACACCAGCTTGCAAGGTCGAGCCCCTGACAGGCAGAAACACGGCCCCGGCCCGACGGTGTTTCACTGCGGGTCGCAATGTTGCCAATGAAACAGCCACCGCCAAGGCGCCCGCCACGCACACCCTCAAGCGGGATCCGACCCCACCTGCCGCGCTCGCCGCGCTGCTGCTGACGCTCTGGTCGCCCTCCCTCCGTACGGCCGCCTCGTCGTCCCCTCGGCCCGCCTCCGCGCCGTCGTGGCCGCCCTTGCTCGCCGCTGAGTCGCGCTGCTGCTGCTTCTTGGCCGCCTTCTTCTGCAGCTTGGCATTGCGCTTGGCCTCGGCTGCAAGGCGCTTGCGCTCCTGGCGGGCGCGGGGTTTTCGCAGGTTTGAATGTGTGTGGGCGATCCCATCAAACGAGTGTATCGTTTCAAATTTCAAACTTCAGGAGCCAATTGTCAAGGCCCACGACAGTCAAACACGGCTTGCATACAGCAGGACCCTGTGCATGACGTGGCTGCCAACGTCAACGAGCCCTGCCCTGCACGCAGCCCGCTTCTGCACCTTGGGCGTAAGCTTCTTGGCAGCTTCCTCGCCCCCGCCCTCCTGCTCCTCCTTGCCGCCCTCGGGAGCCGCCGCCGCGTCGTCCGCGGCCACGTCCTTCTTATTCGACTTGCCCAGGCCGGTCAGGCGGGACAGCAGGGAGTCCTGAAAGGACAAAGGCAGAGGATATGGTTGCAGGGCCCGACGAAGGTCAGCGGCATGACAGGGTTTTGGCGAGACCTTCGGGGCAATGAGATGGGTGCAGGCGTTGGCAGCTCGCAGCCGCCACACAGCACAGGGAGGGCCGCGCGCGAGACAGACCGGCCCGGGGTCGGGCGGTGGAGCGCCCCTTTCCCCTCAACCCCAAACGCACCTTGCGCGCGAGCCCCTTTTCCACCGGCTGCGGCGGGGGGATCGGTAGCGAAAGGTCGAGGAAGGGCTCATAGCTGACCGACGCGTGCTCGCACGTGCTGCACACCACGCGGCTGACCAGCACGCCGCCAAACACGGCGTCGACCAGCGTGTCCCCTGCGCCCGCCGGCGGCGCCGGCGGCAGCAGCGAGCGGCGCCCGAGCGACGGCAGCGGCGCGGGGGCGCCGGGCGGTGGGCCGGGTTGCGCGCCGCCACCCTCCTCCTCGGCCGTCGAGCCGCCGCCGTCCTGCTCGCTCGCGCCGCTGTCAGCGGCGTGCGGCGGCGCGGCGCCGTTGGCGGTCACAGCGATGTGATCTGACGCAGATGCGTCGCTGTTGTCGGTTCCAGAAGCGTCCTGTGGTGCCCCCTCGTCGGCAACGCTGGCGTGGCCGTTGGCAAGGCCATCTGCTGCAATCCCAGACCCCTTTCCCGCGAGCCCGTTTTGCTCGCCTCCACCACCACCCTCGTCCTCGCCCCCGCTGCCGCTGCTGTCATCGCTGCCGCCACCGCCGCCGCCGCCGCCGGCGCTGCTGTTGCTGCTGCTGGGTGCCTTGGGCGTCGCCGCTGCCGCCCCCTCTGGCTTGTGGCGCCCTTTGTCGTTGGTGGTCACGAGAGTACCGTCCCACGACGCATTCGCATACTCCTCCTCCTCCTCTTCCTCCTCCCCCTCGTCACCCTCTCTCTGTCCGCCCTCGTCGTCAACCTCCTCCTCGTCCAGCTGCTCGCCAGCTTCCCCCTGCGATCCACCCCCGCCGCCCCGCCGCGCCAGCGACCGCGAACGCTTCTCCTCCATCTGCCGCGCCAACGGGACGAGGGGCGCCGTGGCGTAGGCCGCGCCGCAAGGCAGTCAACGTGTGCGTGTCGGAGAGTGCAATGCTCCCGATTGAAAGACGTGTGGCAAGGCGCTCCCGTTTCGTGCCATCATATAGCTGCTCGGCTCAATATGGTATCTAGGGGCTGGCACGCGAGCCCATTTCCAGCCACAACTGCAACATCACTCGGCACATACTCGCGTCACCAGCAGCCGGCCAGCGCGCCCGAGCGCGCACCTGCAGCCCGTCCAGCAGCACCCGCAGCAGCTCATGGCTGTCGTGCTGCTGCCGCCCCTTGAAATGCGGCGAGTGGCGGCAGACCGCCGACAGGAGGGACTGCGGGTTGTAGCTGCCCCCGCTGCCGCCGCCCTTGCCGCCGCCTGCAGTGCGCATGCGCAGAGTGGGCGCCGCGATGAGGTGCCGGGCTCCCTCTCGGCGAGTCGAGCGGGTAGCAGCGCAGCGCACTGTTGCTTGAAGCTCGCGAGTCGAGCTCCTGCACCGCCTGCAGGACTCACAATTGCTGCTTCGCACGCGTGAAGGCTTGCGAGCGCCCGATCCACATGCCGCAGCTGGAGGCGGGCGGGGCGCACCTTTCGCGGCGTGCCGGAACGCCTGCTGCAGTGCGTAGCCGAGGGGGCCCTGCGCGCTCTTCTTATCCTCTGCCAGGTATGCCTGCTGCAGCGCTGGGCAAGCCATCAGCATCTGCACCGCCGAGTTGAAAAAGCAGGTGTTGCCCAGGTTTGACAGCCCGACCACGCCCCCAACCGCGCCGGCAACCGCAGCCGCAGCCGCGCCTGTGGTGGCGCTGGGAGCGGCGGTCGCATTCTGCGGGGGCCGCGCCAGGGCAGTCGCAAGCGGCAAGAGCATGGGTGTAGTTGGGGGCAAGTGATGGTGCGGCGGCCGGGCGCATCGCTGCTGCCAGGGAACTGGACGTACAGGAGCGCGGTCCAGATGCATGCTGTAGCAAATTCATGACCAGTGCGGCTGATCACACGTGCCTCGGGTGACGAGGGGCTGGATCAAGGCGCGTGTGCAGCGTTGGGTGCATCCCGTTCGCACCTCGGCGCCCTTCTCGCGTCCTTGCCCTGCGGGATGTGTAGTTTTTTTGCTGGCTTTGCCTTTCATGCTGCCCTTCTTGCCGTGCTTGGCCATGTGGGGGCTGGCAAACGCAAAGGCCGCAGCAGACCGCTGGCCGCCGCTCTACAATCTCAAAAGAGCGCTATAATTGTGTCAGATATCATGTGCTGCCTTGCTGTGGGGCACAGCACCCCCCGCGGGCGCACAGACTGATGCACCAAGTTGGGTGCCTGGGAACCCGTTCATCAGCAAAAATGTTGTGATATGGCCAGGTGAAAGGATATAACGTAGAGGGCAGGCCACCCACAGGCCGTATCCAATTGGCAGTAGGTTGTGCCAGGCACTGGCCACACGACTGAACGGCCTCGCCCCTGCAGGACATATGTTGCCCTATGGTACAGCCAGCCGGCGCCCTTCCAATAACCATTCGTACGATTGTTACTGGTACTGATAACCACATGCAGATCTGTGCGAGCATGGAGACAAATGGCGGGGCTTCGGGTGCCCACTGCCTCGGCCGGAGCTGTCAGCAAGCTGCTGAGCCCGGCCATGACTCAACGGAGCCGCTGCACCACTCTGGCCTACCCCACAGCACGCGTACCTGTGTCCCAGGTGACATTTTGTCACCAACAATGCACGTGCAGGTTATGGCACGCGGGCTGAAGCCAGCCCGAGCACCTCCACGGCTTCGCCCACTGCCCGTGCTCTGCAGGGCACAGGCGCCGCAGCACCACCGTGGTGAACCCTATCCCCAAGTCCCACTCTTTTTCCTGATCAGTAGCCAACTGCAGGTGTGAGTTGATCCTTGATTGCCAGCGCAGGCCCGACGGGTCCCATGCACTTGCCCCTCACCCGCTTTGCCCGGCCGCTCCCACTCTGCAGGCCAACAATAATGGCGCTGCACTGCCAGCGCGCGTGACGTAGTTCGGCGGTGTAGCAGAGCGCACGGCATCATCACGGACTCGCCGCCGTAGATGGCTGCCATAACGAAGATCACGCAGCCGGGTTTGGGGGATTTTGCGTGTGCCGGGGGGGCACTCGCAGGAGTGACAACGCTGGCAGTCACGTGAGCTGCGGAGGCGGCTGTATGTGGGTGGTGCGGTTTCGCTGTCGTTGAGGCATTTGTTTCGCTCATGATTTTGTGTACAACTTGCATGAATCCTGCATGCTGGCAACACCAGTATGCTGACGTGCCTGGAATTCAAGGCGTGCGTTGCAGCGCAGTGGTGGCCTGATGAGGGAGGCGAACAGAGGCAACATGCGCGCAACATTCGCCCGAGTGCAGGCTGTACGGGCTGCATCCCGGCCCTGGAGGTGAATTTAACGATATCTGCAGCTGTTCCAACCGCTCCACCCTCCACTCCAACACCTGCCCATGCTGAGAGCAACGGGGGCGTTGTCCTTGTTCAGAGGCCGGATTCGTTCGGGCCCCTTTGGGGGGACCAAAGGCTGTGACCTGTGAGCTCCTGATCCTCAGATCCACTGCCCAACAGCTGGCTGTTGGTGATGCCATCTTCCGTCGGGCTCGCACGCACACAACACATGGCTCTGCAAAGGATCCTGCGGGCCCAAGCCGCCACACAAGATGCATTTCGCACAGATATTGGGGCTTACACAACCCCCCTGGATGTGGCGCCTTGAAGCAGCGCTTGTATGGTGCCAGCTAACCAGATAAGCAAACACCAGATAAGCTGGGCATGGCGCAGCTGATGAGCCCCTGCTGAGGGCATCACGCGCGGCGTCGTGGCGTGCGGCACTGTGCCTGGCAGCATACCTCTGGGGTCGGTGACGATTATGAATGTGTATCATGATATCATAATACCCGAATCAGCAAGGATCGCGCAGTCAAAAGCCGCACAGAGGAGTATGGTGCAGTCTCTAGATCGCGAATGTTTTGAATTGGGACGCATGAAGATTGTTATAGTCATAGTCAATATATTCAAACTATTAAGTTACGAAGCGCGTGCGCTGGAACGACGTCAACTGCGTGGGGTATGCTGGGTCAACCGTTTGACCTGCAGCATATGTATGTCAGCCCAGCAGCCAATTCGCCTAGTATGCTGCCCATCAAAGTCTCTGCACCACATGGCTGTGCCTCGGCAGGTGGTATCCCCAATGACATGGCAGCGCAGCTTTCATCTCCATGTGGCTGCCGCAGTGCCTTGCACCCACACGCAAAGCCTCACCGCTGGCCTCTCACAACACATACTGCCATCGTTGTGCACTGTTGTCCCACTCTCCCCAAATGTACTTGATGCTTGCTATACCTTCATCTTTTTTCAAGGCGCGCGGGCTGCCGCGGCTTGCGCGGCGGCAGTGCGCGCGCCACCAGGACTCACGCCCTCCCCTATGCACCGCCCAGCCCTCCCCCCAGGACTCGAGTCAACCATCCGGCAACAGTCTACCATTCGGCAACAGTCTATCATCTGGCTACGGTCCACCATCCGGCTACGGTCTACCATCCGGCTACAGTCTACCACCGGGCAACAGTCTATCGTCTGGCTACCACCTGAACCGTCATTGGGGTGAGGGCGGGATTTAGGGATCAAGGCATGGGAGGGGGGGGTTCAAGCGCGCGCAACCTCTCCTCCTCCTCCAGTCGCAGGCCAGTTGGCCACTGTAATGGAGGAGGCGAGTGGCGGAGAGACGAGGAGAGCGGCGCCGGCGATATGATTGAACATGATCATGTGTGTGTGGGCGCCTGCTTGCTTTTTACCTGCTTGCTTTGCCTGCTTGCGATTTTGGCTGCTTGGTGTGTTTGCCTGCTTGCGTTTTTTTGGAGCCCAATTGCAGCACACCTCCCCGTGGTGGGCTCTGGCACGGCGACGGGCTTCCCCATGCCCGCCTGCTAACCAAGATGCTGCATTGCCCTTTGGCTGTGTCGGCCTGGACCCATCTGGCTTTATTAATGCTGCTGACTTTGCTGATGCTCTCTCAGGACGCGCCCTTGAACGCCAGCAGCTCAAGCAGCAAAGAAAATTACAATACTTTTGACAGGTTCCACATTTGCGCTTAATGTGGTGAGTAGCAAGGGGGAATTGACAGTAACAAGGTAACGAGAGTGCAAGGGGCGGGGATGTGAGAGGATTGCACTCGTACAACACAACAATCAAACAGCAGCGAGCTGAACAACCCTGAACAACCGCGCAAAGGAAGTTGCACAACAAGATGCCTGCAACACTGCGGCAAGCTGCTTCCACCTCACGTGCAAGCATTCGCATGCCGTATGTCATCTCAGAGCGCGCTGCAGCTCTTCCCGCGCCGCCGCGGCGTCCGCCTGTGCCTGTGAGCGCGGCAGCAGCACCCCGGCTGGGCCCGCGCCCAGGGGGCCTGCGTCCCCGTAAGCCAGCTGCTCCAGAGCGTCCAAGAAGGGCCGCCCAAACTCGACCGCCATGGCTTCATCAGCGCTGATGTCATCCTGACAGCATAAGCAAGGGGAAAGTGATGGCTGGTGTGGACTAGGCGGAGTTGTGCAGGAACACGAGCTTGAAAGCTACTGCTGATCCCCCAAGGTGGTGCAGAGCACTGGGTGCTCGGGCGCCGACTCATGCACTGCTCAAGCAGTCGCCACTTGCCCCGACTCAGCGCAGCCTGCATGCAGCAGCCTCAGCCCTGATGAGGTGTGCTCATCCTCCCAGCTTCCATTGCACGGTCTGATGATGAGTCTGCCCAGGGCCCCACCAGTGCGTCGATCAGGCATGATAGGAGTGCTGTGCACGACAGCCGCCCGACACCCGCGCCAGACAGCAGCCGCAGCAGCGGCGCCAGCGCGGCGGCGCGGCCGGCAGCCAGCAGCTGCTGCGCCAGACGCGCCGCCGCTGACTGCAGCGATGCGTGCGGCGCACGGGCGCCGTGGCAGCGTCCGCTGTCGTCAGGGCCGCCTGCAGCCGCCTGCGCCATCTCAGCCGCGCGACAGAACAGCCCCAAGCCCTCGGCCACACCCGCCCTTGCCCCCCTCGCCACGGCCCCTTTCCTACCGCCGCCGACCGCCGCCAACGCCGCCGGGCCGCCACGCTGCTCGCACAGCGCAAGCAAGCGGCGCGCCATCCGCGCGACGTGCTGTGGCTCTGCGGCCGCGCAGTCTGCCAGCAGCTCCATCCCACCCTCGACTGCCTCTGGCGGGAATTCCTGCAGCCGCTCCGACCCCGCCACCCACAGCGCCCCTCCCTCGAGCAAAAACTGCTCCAAGCCCTCAATCACGGCAGACGTATCCGCG